ATGATCATACATAAATATTTTTTCCCGGGATACTTTTCTCAAAAATAATTTAAAAGTAGTTAACATTACATCATTTGACGTCACGTTTATAATTATATACATATAATATAAAAAGACGAAGACTGCTCACAAGATGCCTAACTATTTGCAAGATCGCTGGACTCGATAAGTCTCGATAAGATAACAATAAGACAAGAATCTGGCTTTCATATTATAAATGTAAAATCGTAAAGAATAATTAAACATTTACAATATTAGTCATTACATTATAAAATCGCAACATCCTAATTACTAGTATATTTACATCCACATGATGAAAGCGATTATATAGATATTGAGATAATGAATAATAATTATTAAAAATTATTAAAAAATCAAATAATTGATAAAAAACTTAAGTATCTATTTAAATTTTATTTTAACTATTAATTTATTTTGTCAGCGGTTTTCAATGTAATGCTCTCTTTCCACTGATTTGGACCATTCTATGAATTCCATAGATCTTTGCATCAGTTTGATCTCCGTCATTAAATTTTCCCTGAAAAAATTAATGTTTCATTCAATTATTAAATAAAATTAGATTAAACAATGCCAGTGTTTTAGAATAATTTACAGGAATTTTTAAACATTTTGTTTAAGTAATCTCTATAATAAAAACGTAAACTAAATAAAATTGTATACGTGTGTTTTATGTGCGTGCGTGCGTGCGTGCGCGCGCGCATGGTGTGTGTATGTATGTGTGCGCGCGCGCGTGTGTGCGTGCGTGTGTGTGTGTGTGTGTGTGTGTGTGTGTGCGTGTGCGTGTGAAAGGAAAAATTTAATGAATTAGTACTGACCACTGAGTTTTCCTAATAAACGGTATGACTTTTGGAATTGGAAATCCATTGAATGTGGTGGACAGACATAAACTATAAGCACCTACGTTTTCCCAAACTAACCAATCGCCGATATGAAGTTCTGGCAATAATACATCTTTAGCAATTACATCAAACGAATCGCAAGTCGGTCCCCACAAAGTCGAAAGAAATTTCTCATCACTCGCCGGCTATACAAATTAATAATGAATTACTTTACATCAACAAAACAATTTTGCATACATGATATTTGATAATAATATTCAATAAGTCACATAATATTTATAATTATATATTATACTTTAAAAAGCGTACTTCAAAAAGAATTCGCAGGACTTTAGTATTCGGGCAAATTAATTCATCCAGAAACGAATTGTACGTTCCGATATTTGCGTAATACATTCTCATAAATTTGCCGTTTTTATGAACGATTCTTTTGGAATGTAAGAACGAGGCTACAGTAAATGCCGATTCAACATAATATCTTCCGGGTTCGCTAATAACTCTTATGCTGGGATCGAGATCTTGAATTGCATCGTTGACAATATTGGCGAGCTGAAGGGATTTAAAAATAAATTTAAAAATTATTTTGTCTACGAAATAGAAAGAAATTAAGACGCGCGAGCAAAGTGTGTATACCTTGTCGATATCTGTTCCATTTTGACCACCACCGATGTCGATCAGCTGTACATTCTGGCAACCCATCGATTTGGCGATCGCGATCAATCGTTTGCATATTCCGATACCTCTGCTGTACGCGTTTAGCTCCCCGCATGGACTACCGACGTGAAAACTAAAGCCGTGTAAAGTGAGACCAAGGTTCGCCGTAAGTTGTATCAATCGCACAGCATCCTCATCCGGTTCACAGCCAAACTTCAATCCGAGATTGCATTCCGAGTTTTTCGCGTCGCATCGTATGCGTATTATTATTCTATTAAATCACAAGATTATTGTATTACTATTGGAAGGATAAAAGAAAAGCGGGATGTCGATCGTAGCTACATGATAGTAAGCATACATAGTTACATGATCGTAGCTACATGATAGTAAGCGAATAGTAAGCACAGCGATTTCGCACACTCACTTGGCCTCGGAATAAAGATCCTTTATCTTCAAAAGCTCTAATTCACTGTCGGCGGTTATCTGTTCGACGTTCATTTTCTTGGCGTACTTGATATGAGATGGGCATTTATATGGATTCGCGAATATGATTCGGTCGGCTTGCACACCATACTGCATCACTTGCCTGATTTCTTGCTATTTCGACATATTATGTACACGTATTAAAATTAAACTTATTCTGCCCCTTTTACAAATAAAGGAAGATGTCATGTAAAAAAATCACAAGAATTTATTTATGATTAGTTTTTGAATTTAATTTAATAAAAATTAATTGAAAAGAAAAGAGATGTAATGCAAAAAATAACAATCAAGTTGTATTTTATTTTAAGACATTTTTAACGCAAAAATTTTATAACTAAATCAGTAATGTATATAGAAGTAAAAATTTTATATCCGTATTCATAATATTCACATCTCACCTTTATCGATAATTGCATTTAGAAGATATGTACTGCAGAACTTTAGAAATAAATTCGTGCATTATCGATAAAAGTAAAATATAAATACAGATATTAATGTTTAAAATATTGAAGAATATAATCGCGGCTCAAGCTGAGCTTATTTACCTCGGACGCGCAATCAAAGCCGGTATTTAAAGCTGCCAATATCTTGATTACATTCGGATCCGGATTACATTTAACCGCTGAAATCAATTTAGAGGAAGGTGAGAAATCTGAATTTTTTCAATATAAATTTAAATGACGTTAAGCTTATTCTATAATTGCCCATTCTATATTGTAGATGATTGTAGTTATAAAAATTCACCAATCACAATCGAATGTTCTCCTCATGTTTAACTGTGATTGGTTAATTTTTAAAACTATATCCACTTACAAATTGCTTACGCAATTGTAGAATGGATCTTATAGAGAGAAGCGGTCCTTAAAATTGACGTACCGTAATGTGGGGTAACCCTCGGAATTTTGGTGATCCACTCGCGATGTTTGTTAATGATATCACCAATATCCACAATGTAGAAACCGTCTTCCTGATTTCTTCTATCTATTATAGTCTTAATGACGTCCATATTATCTGCTGCGTCGTCAAAGACGTTAATTTCGTTCAAATTGTCGGGAGACATGGTCTGCAATCTTGAAGCTCAAGTATTGGCACGAACCGAGAGTAACAAAATAATGGAAAGTGTCTGTCCAAATAAGTGTCACTGCTTGACTACTTATAAGCGGTCCGAGATATTGTGATAAGCATTGCTTGAATATATACGATTACAATCCATCTCGCATTTGTTCAACGATAAGATTTGTTGAAAGTTAATGCACGTCCCTCTCTATTGATGGGATCTCTCTTTACGATGATGCAAATAATAATAAAAAGAATCCATATTCTGATGCCCATCAAGTAGATATACAGTCTTGTCTGTGTGAAAAATTATATGATTTGCATGTACTTGTATGTTGCGGATGTAAAAATTATATTGAGTAAGGAAGACTTATTTCTGGAAACGAAAGAGATGCTATTGTGAAAGAAGAACAGAGGAATCCCCCGATGATTCATTGACTTGGAAACTTGAGAATCAATATCTTCAATTAAAAGAACATACTTCTTTTAAATATAATAAGCGTTTTGTGTGCACTATATTTAGCTTTTTATTTTGTAACTTTTATAACACTTGCTTAAATATGCTTTAAACTGCATATAATAATATTAACATAATTGTTGTCATTATTACATTAATAACATTCTTCTATCCGAAGGGAAAAATGTTTTATATATAATTATATATAAAATTGACATATTTTATATACAATTATGTATAGTTATATATAAAATATATATAACACATATTTTATAACATTTTTTCCAGGGTATACATATGTTCACTACCGTTCGAATAAATTTTATTGAATGATCATGTAAAAAATTAAGACTTTATAAAATAGCAATTGTATTATTTTTTAAAATATATTTTAAATCATTTGTACACATACTAACAATTGCAAAAGTTTTATAAATTAGTTTTAATTTTATATGTTAAAAAGTATAATGAAGTAAAGTTGTCTTTACTTCATAA